TCCAACACTAAAAAAGGAGTTTCATGGTGTTTTGCAGAGCACACAGGCAAACCTGAGATGATATACAGCACTGTAAGGTTTTATTGACGTTTGCTTAGGATGATCTATGTAAGTCACTCTTAGATATTCAACCTTCCCAAAGTCATGCCAGTAAAATGTTTATGCTACATCATCATCTCTTCTCTACTGTACCTCCATGTGCAGACACACATTATATATCTTCAATTACATTAAAACTATCTATACAATAAGTCACAGTTGAAGCTATACCTTATTTGTTCAAACATCCAAGTTAAATTTACATACTAATGGTTGCATATTTGGCTTTAATAAATGCACTATTAGAAAATAAACATAATAAATGAATAACCATTTTAGCATGAAGTCACCTAATCTTGATGAAAAATATCTGAAAATGCAGCAACCAGGGAATCTATTTAATTTTTATTTGAAAATAACGCTAATCACAGACTTAGAAGATAAATATAAATTATATGGAGTAGCATACTAATGATGGATCAGGCAGACCCATCCTGTGCAGTGAATGCAATAAGACCAAACTGGTTGAAATGGATGGTATATACTCTAGATGCTCTCTTCCTCAATCATGGAATAAAGGATATAGACTAGGATGGTTTAATTTGCTGAAGTTTCCCCTCACACTTGACAGTGCATTTCATTTTCAGCATCTTCTAAAGCTTCAGGACAAGCTCTGTGTCTCCCAGCAACAATCAGGTTTATGCACAGGAAAGATGCACAGGGATGATTTCTGTCCCTGAAAACCGAAAAGTGCACAGTAAGGTAGAAAAGCTGGATTGTCTAATGGTGAACAAGAGGGCTCACATGCACAGCAAACTGTGCAAACTGATTTATGCAGTGCTATTTTCGCACACTGAGCAAAGGCAAAAGGGAGCAGGCAGGCCCAGCCTTTGCTATCTTGCACAGGAGGAAGAGGAGCCTGCTTTGATTTCTTTCTAGTATAATGAACCATTTCTTTCCACACAACTACATCTTTTTGATTATTTTGATCATCTCTGCTATCCTTGACTGTTCACTCTTCAAATCAGAAAGAGTATCCTGGATTAGGACTGCACACACCATTCTGGCTACAGCTGTGCAGGAGATGAACAGTGTCAATTCAAGTTGCTTGTCAAGACTCCTCACCCCACTTCCAAAGCCTACTAACCCCTCAGGTCTCCCAGCAGTGTTTCTCCAAGAGCTTTTTCTCTTCTGGAGCCATTAAAATGATCCTACTTAGAAAAATCTATTATTTTGAGTTTTGAAGCTACCAGGTAATTATAAAGGAATTGAATTTTGAGGGACTGTGAGTCCCAGCGGGCACTAGGAAGGAGCGGCCCCTGAACATGATGGCAGGGGGTGATAAAAAATAGGTGGTGCTAGGCTTATTGTAGAATATTACAGATAATGCAGAAATGAGGAAATCAAGAAGACAGCAACTCCCATAATCTCACAGAGGGAGTTTTGCTAGAAATGTGATCCAGTTTCCTTCTGTACCACTGCCGGAACAGCCATAATCATGCTTCTACTTGACCTCAGTGCAGACCACAAGGTTCCTCAGCAATTGAAATAAATAACTATTTAAAACAACAGCAGCCAGAGACACTGGCAGCACCAAATGAAAGTGACTTTGTGAAGGGAGAACACATCAAGAGTCACTCAACATGATGTGCCACTTGCTTGCCTTGGCAGCAAAACGATGAAGGCTCCAGGATCCATCCTGCTGCCAGAGACCTTTCTTCTTAATCAGCACCTCTGGGCTCACCACACTACATCTGAACTGTGAGTGCCTTCCTTCTCTAAACGTCATTTCATTTTTGTACCTTTCCTTGAGACTTGTCAGCCCACAGACTTTTTTTTTTTTTTTGTAAGAATGCTGGCTCAGCATAAACCAGAAAGGAATGTGGAACTGTACTCAGGGCCCTGACAAACAGAGACATAACACAGCGGGCTAGATTGGAACTGAGTCTTTTGTTTTATTACATTGTGCCTTGCAGGCTCTTGGTCCTTCTTGCCCTGCCCATCCTCAGCCTTTCATTTCACAACCTGAGCAGAAGCCCTACACAAAAACAATTGAAAGCAAGTTACCAGACCCTGATCCCCACACTGCTGTGACTTGTGTCAAATTATAGCTGAAGTGATTTGCTAATCCAAACCCAGGCAATAATCTGATCTGTGGGGAGAAGCACTCTAACACTGCTCTGCTCAGTGGCCACAGTGGTACAAGCACTGTCAGCTTTTCCCAGCAGCTTTTTGACCTACTGAAGCCTGCACCCATGTACTGAGCAACTGATGACAAAGGGAAAAATCTGACACATTCAGGCTGTTAAAAGGCATAAGACATATACTCTAAGTCCCAAGAAAATGCTCCAATTAAATGCAGTTTTTGAGCAAGAGTATATTTAGCCCACCTAAAGGTTACTGCTATGCTGTGTGGACTTCATGTATTTGAAGAACATTTTAAAGAAGAGAAAGAAAAATATTTATGTTGGTGGACCATATTCAGATTATAAGAAAGGATTTGGAGGAGTACCTAAAGTTGAGAGGTCTTTCTCAGTTAATCACATAAAGGATGGACATTTACCTGGACCTTCTGAGCCACAGGATTCAATTTCTGTTGTGAAAGGCTCTCAAAACATTTGGTCTTTGTTCAGTTCAGTCAGGCTGAAAAGTACTGCATGGCCTTGCATGCAGAAAATCTGCCACTTTTAAAATATCCATTGAGATTTCTTACAACATCCACATTGGAAGACAGGCTAAAAGTTTTCTTTAAAATATCATATGAATAAACCATGTGATTCATTAATTATGACTCTTTAGCAAGCAGACAGGAACAAAATGTCTGCTAACTTGGTTTTACAGCATACCTGAAAAATAACACAGAACAGAAGAAAAAAATGGAGATTTTATGGTAGCAACGAAGATATTTCATAGTCTTTTCATCTGAAGGGTCATTAACCCTTTAGAAAGCAATGCCAATATGTACTAGAAATATGTACAGCACAGAGCATGAAAAAGCTCAATGTAAAATATGAGATAAAAGCTGGATATAGACTTGCTTTCAAACAAAAACCCAAGTTTGCCTCCATTCTCTTATCTTCAGATACAGAATTGAAAAATGTAAATTAAGAGTTGGGGAGAACTACCAAAACTGAAGGTGAAACATCCAAGTCAAGTAGGTGCATGTATGTATTAAAACAGAAAGGAGGAAAAATGAAAAAAAAAAAGAATAAGAATAAAAGAGAAATAATAATTTATAAGTCCCTAAGCAGTACCTTATATCAGAGAAAAAAAAAAATTTTCTAAAACATTGGCCATACTCTTTCTTTAGAAGAGAAAAAGAACCAAAACTAAGGCTACCAAACAGCACCAATTAAAAAAGAAATCATATTCAGCTTCCTAGAAACCATGTACTTTCCTCTGAGGTTATCCACAGTAACCTGTGCCTTTGCCATCTTCAGATTGCTTCACTACACCTGACTTACCTAAAACTGAACACAAAAACCACATGCAGCTGAGAGAAGTCAGACACCCAGCCCTCTCTTTGACTAAGCCTCAACATCAGTCCATAGCATTCCAACAATCTGGGCCTTTCCCCAAACGCCAATCTACTGCTAATATCAGTTGGAAGCTTGGATCCACAGTCTTAAAGCAAGCCAGAAATCTCATCTTTGCTCCATCAGATCGCAATCTATAAACAAAGCCACAAGCTCAGCAGCAAAGCCAATCGGAAAGACAGGGGCTAAAAATGAGACTTGAGCATTTTTTACTGAAAAGAGCAACAAACATTCTGTAGGAGATAAGGAAACCTACAAGCAGACAAACCTTCAGGAACAGTGGCAAAATCATGTCTTTCTGTAAGATAACTAACTACAAGCTATATGCACTAATGCCAGTTATCACCGAACAAACAAATTAAAAAACCCCAATCAACCAAAAAAATTCCCAAAACCGAAACCAAAAAAGCCAAAACTATCCCCCAAACTTATCTCAAACAGTATTTTGATGCTACCAAACAAGATATGCAAGAATTGACATGAATTAAAAACAAATGGATGGATGCTGCTACTGGTGAGGAGATTACTCAAATGTCATCTGTTACTGTTGATTTTCCATTTAATAATTACATTCTTAAAAAAACATAATCAAGCTGTACACAAAGAAACCAAACTAAATGGTAAAAGGCAGATGCAAAAAGTATTTTACTGCTTTAGCATTTCAGACTTCATCAAGCATCTGTGTCAGCCCAACTCCCCCAAAGACCAGCTGACACCACCTGACATGAACCTCCCCATGCTCCTGCTGAAGAGTATTATGGAAGCAGCATTTCCACTCAATCCAGTCATGCCTGATTGCTTTGTGAGTACAAAAAGCAAGACGAGGTTGCTAACTACAAAAATCACCACAGCAGAGGAGTTACAAAACAAATATAAGCTGAGCCTGCACTCTGCCCTCTAATGCCAGGAGAAAAGAGCTGACAGTGAAGATGGCAAGGCACATCCACAAAGAATTTGCCAAAGGTTAACACTGCAACTCCCATTGACATCAATGATCGTAGAGTGAAAACAATGGAAAAAATTGAGAATGTGTTGTGATCCTTGAGCGCTTTGCATCAGACACATATTTATAATGAAACAGAATCACGGACACAACTCAAGAACATAACCAAACCATAACATAACCAAACCACAGGCCTAAATCTATCCCTATTCTGGATATATTTAGAAGTTAAATATATGCTTAAGCATTATTCAAAAAAGGGATGTTAACTGGATATCAGCAGGAACTTAAACATTATCTAGTCGAAAAAAATGCTATTATCAAAAGCTGGATTTTACTGCAGTACATCAGAGAATCATGACAGCTGTAAAGCTGTTGCATTAAAACCTAATCTTTTAACGACTCATAATTTTAATTATGTGATATTTATTAGGAATGCACATACATCACAGTAAATTATTATCATGTATATGTAATTTTACCTGGAACTTTACTTTTTGCCAAATGTGAGGCCCGATAAATTGTTTCAAGAAGCGTTCATCTTCACTCCAGAACAGTCGGATGTCAGGGATATCGTACAGGATCATGGCCAGCCTCTCCAAACCCAAGCCAAATGCCCAGCCAATTTTATCCTGAGCACCAGCTGCAACACACAAGACAAAAATTCAAGAGCTTAAGTTCACAACATGGAAAATTACTGATAAAATGTTCACCCATTTATTAAGAGGGCATAAAGAAAAAGGTGAAATGGAAAACCAAAAAATCTTACAAGTAAGTGTCAAATGAATGATCTAAAGGCTACAGGACAGATCCTACTTAAATCAAAAAGTGCAGCAAGACTGAGCACATCACTGAGTCCAGGAACCAAAAGTGACAATAAAACAAAGCCACAGCCTTGACAACCTGTATCCAAAGTTTCAGACAGGCTTGAGAAATGCAGCATAATGCTATACATCACTACCCTTGACTATGCTTAGAGCTGAGCATTTCCTCACTTGACTCCGCTGTTTCATAAGACTCACAAACATGAATTCCCTGTTCAGAGTATTTTCCTTGGTCTGACACGCCAAGTCAAGCCTACAGAGCATTAACATCATCACCAACATTTCAAAAGACCATAATTGCCTCTTTTGAGGCTTCTGGAAGAAACAGAGCAATGGGATGTGAGGCACTGTTGCATTAGCATCACACCTCCAACCAGGGAAATCCTGAGCTGCTGTTCCTGGGAAATGCCACTGCTCTCACATTAACAAGTCTCTTTTATGCAGCACTAAATATAAAAGGACAAGAATATTTAATAAAGAAAAGCTGTACAGATATTAATGATGCAACATTTCTGTCAGGAAAGTAAATATTCATACCTTCCTTCATTTATAGGGCAGGAGCACTGATTCATGCAAATAGGGATCTTTCCAAAACAAAAAACTGTGTTTAGCCATCAGCCTACTGATTTTGAAATAAGCTGAGAGCCCAGAAGCCCTCACAAAGGCTCAGAGCTTTTAAAAACTTAAACAAATGTCTAAACAAACACACCAGCTGAATGGATGTGTGCATGTGTGACAGACTTGACTTCACACCATCAGCACTTGCAGTGTGCTCCTGGGTCACACAACATCACTGCACATCTCACAGCTATGTACCAGGGCCACAGCAACCCCTCCAGTATCAATCTGAACTAATTTTTTAGAAACTTTGAATTCAGCAGCTTTCCCATCTTCCTGCAGGAAGGTGGAAGCACAAGTCTTATTTCTGACCCTTGTCTGCTATCAGAAAGGAAACAGCTCCCATTGTTGAGGCACTGATGACAGACATGCTGAGTTATCCTGTTGTGTTCAATGCTGAGACTAAACAGGCCTGAGTTCTGTTCAAATAGAGGGAGGCATACCAAGCTTGGGAAAAGAGACACACTCACAACTTCAATTCCATTAATTCACCTAAACTTGCCTATTTTTCTGGAATAACAGGTCCTCGGCAGAGGCTGTGTCTCATCTGCTGTGTCAGCAGTATTGTGCTGCCCCACAAGTTACATCAACTTGTAAGAGCACTTCATAGAGGAGTCAAGATATTCTGCCTGACCCTCCTCGTGTGCTCAAAGGTAAGATTTTGCACTTTCTGACATTTGAAAGCAGACAGTTCATCAACTGAACTGAGGAAGTCCTAGAAACAGAGGACTGGGTGTGAACTCATGGCAGAGATGCTGAAAACAGTGCTTAGACCAACCAGCAGACTATGAGCAGCTCTGACTCTGGAAACCTGCAATCCATGCTACAATACATGAAGAACTGCACAACTTGCTTCTGCTGACTTTGAGAGAAAACAGAGTGACTACAAAGAACATATGGAAATTTGTATTTGGGAGCAATTACGAACTTTGACTTTAAGCATAGACCATAAACTGCTCCTCTTCCATGCTGAAAGTACTACTCCTCTCCATACATCAGTATATTAAAGTAATTACATTTGTATAGCTGTGAAAAAAGGAATATAATTCATTACAATGGTGCTGCTTCTTCAAACTTTCAGCTGGCCTTTCCTAGATCAGCAACTCCTGCCTCAGTGACAGAGCTCCTATTCATTCCAGAAGTACCAGATTTTCACATACATATGGGCATTTGTGTAGATCAAACCCCTCCTCCAGATGTAAAGTAAAGCACCAGGAGCAATATCCATGAGGGTTCTGAATGGTCACTGCTTACTCTCAACAGAGGCCTTAAACTTGAAACCTAAAGATGCCAGATTAAGCACCAGCATTATTAATTCACAGATGCTCAGTAAAGTATACATGATGGGGGTGATGATCCTCCTTCCTCATACTAGTGATGATTCCTGGTAGATCATACAGGAAAAAAAAAATATGACAGAAGAGAAGAACAGGTGTATATTCTGATTAGCAAAGCTTTACATTTATAACTTGAGCTTTTTTATTATTTTGATATGACAATGATTTTCACTGTAACACTTTTCCTCAGTGACTTGCTATCAACTTGAACTCTGCAATGAATGTCTTGATTTTGTATCAGCAATTTCTTTTCTATTCTGGTTTTCTTGCTTGGTTTGTTGGGGTTTTTTTAGAAGGACTGGGACACTTCACAGGTTTTTTATTCATAGCAGACAAAGAAATTCTGCTAGCTGCCTAGCAGCTCAGAGCATTGTCATCTGAGCTACGATTAAACACCTATTCACCAAACTGAACTTGTCTTTTGGATGATCCTTGTACAATTATCAGCCTTCAAACCACAAGCTTCTCAAATGTCTCCAGTGAAAGCTGTATCAGTGAAGAATTGCCTCTTCTCAGACAAAATAAATGAAACAAAAAGGAAAATTCCGATTATTAAAATTCCTCTTCAAATCAGCACTAGCAAATCTCTGCACTCTGAATCTTCAGTTATTTTGTTTCTGATCTCTTCTCCAACTTTCTATTTGTAAAGCTCCAAGTCAATGAAGCATTCACTTAAGTATTTTGAACAACTTCCTTGGGGGACTCAACAAGATTAATGCATGCTTCCAAACATATTTCTGACTGGAAATTATCAGGTGACTTAGAAATTAAATGAGCCAGTAATCATCCTGTTGAGGGAAGGAGCAACCCATAGCTTTCCCAACACAAATACATGTTTAAATGTACCAAATTTTGGCAAGTATTATGCAAAGAAGTCAAGTGAACGTGAATCAAGAAGACAGGAAGAGTGAACACAGAACGGCATTAAACATGGCAAAATGAAAATTGAGGTTCTGATGAGGGGACCTGGCCAAAGCAGCAGATTCCAGGGACCTGGTGGGGCAATCATAGCATCACTGCTTGAAATAACACAGCCCAACAGATAAAGATTTCCTGACACATGAGCTTTCCCAAACTGGCCATCAAAGATTTTTATACTGCCAGGCTCCTGCTGCCTCACATGAAAAATTTGACTCCTCACCAGAAGAAAATTGCTGGAAGCTTTGCTTGTCAGGTAGCCAAAAGATGGAGGAGGAAAGGATAAAGCAGTTTGACTGGCTTCCCACACTGGGAGCTAGTACAGCCCAAACCTGATGTCAGGAGGTTGCACCATTGCAGCTCTGTCTAACAGAGAAGCTCAAGAATCCTTATCTTCCTTGATAAGTCATATCTATTTATCCTGGACTTAAGCTTCAAGCCCAGGTGAATCAGTTTACATGTAATGTAGACCAAGCAAGTCATTCTCCAAAAAGCAATGTTAAATGAAAGTTAAATTTGCTCAGTCAGGATTGGAATCTTCCCAATTATTCACTAGGGCATAAATAATGACCTACCAGAATTAATGGATTATATTGCCCTGAATCCTCAGAAAAAAACACAGACAGAAACACCCACCCTCTCAAGGAGTGTGAGGCAAGACATTCTGCTCTGTACAACAATTTTAAGACATAATTTTCAACATAGTATTAGTAACAGGTTGACAAAACCTTTTTGGTTTACATTCCAGTCATACTTATTTTTGTATCGATACCGGCTTTTATTTAAGAATTTTTGCTACTTCTGTAGAACTGCCAATAAAGAAATCTTTCTTTCAATAGATCCTAAATTGGGTCTTCAAATTGTCATACTCAGCAGTTACTGAAAAGTGAAAGAAATTAAATTTTGATCTTGGACTGAGGCAAAATCATGAATACACAACAGCCTGCATAGAAGGTGTTCTTCACAAAATGCACAAAAATTAATACACCCAAAGTATGAGTAGCTGAAATCTGGGATGAGTTCCAGAAGCAAAGACCTGAATTTGATCTCCTCCTTTCAGTCCAAACTATGACTCTTAATGGAGCCAGTTCTAGAACTGAAATGGTGGGAAGTGGGGTGAACAGATTCTCAAGGGCATGTGGATTACGCATCATGTTTTACAAAACAAATCAGCTTTAAACTGTATAGAAAGTAAGTTATAGACAAAATGAACACGCAACTTGACACAAGATACCACAAATTCTGGAAACAAATGCCAAGGCCCAGATTTGAGTTCTGTGTGATTAATGGACAGCTTATGAATCAGGTTTTGAAAAACAGGTTCTGCAAAATAAATATTTACTTATTTCTAGAGACTAGGAATGCATAGCCTACATAACTGCCACAGTAATGAAGCAAATGTGTTTACTTGTGTTAAAAATAAGCCATTATAAATTATTTCTTTATTATTTACCTAAGTTACTTCAGCTAAAACTCCCATTTGTAGGGAGTAAAAAGCTTTACATGGAAAAAAGTAATATTAAGGTGTCAGTCTAATAGAGAAGAGCTTCTGAAACTGCAAGGTCATGTGGCCGCAATCCTAAGCAAGTGAGGCCAAAAAGCTTACCCAAGTTTTCTCTGAACTCCTCTCCAGTGAAAGCAAAAATCAGGACCATCACAGTTTTCTCATGTAATTCAGTTAAACTGATGCATTCAGGCTCCTGTGTGCAACTCAGCTTAAATTACATCCTAAAAGGAGGACTTGGCATTCAGACTATGCATGCTAAAAAAGCCACTCTTCAAAAACTCAAGAAAAGAAGTAAACATTCAATTATGCCTATTCTATGTAAAGAGAACTTATCTTTCTGAGTCTCATCTGTGGAATAATTTTCTAACAATAATAGTCACTTTGAGACCACAGCTAAGTCTCCTGGGTCAGACTGCTCTGTTCTGTTCTCTCCATTTGA